CCTTTATAAAAGTCTCAGTTCTCTAAGTAGACCGAATCAGTTAAATTCAGCTCGGTGTTATTGTTTTCTCATCGACAACTAAAGATCCCTGACGAAGTAGGGTGGTGTCAGCTGAAACCGATCGGATCAGCCACGTTATATGTGGTGCACGTCAATTTCTTGATAACTTTACGAGGGCTGTTGCGTTCAGGTTTTCGGTTTACGTCAGTTCTACTTGTTTCTCTTCTCCTCCTCGATTGCGTTTCTCTACGCTGATCTTATTTTTCATTTGCCTCCCTTTTTCTTCCTCTTCTTGGGTTTGCGGGTTGAGTAATTGCTATTGTTATCTATATGATTTGTTGCATGCTGTTGTCTACGATAACCACCTTCTCCAGTGAGATACATTAGTATTTGATTTTTTGAATTTATATTTTTATTTTGTCTAATTATATTTTTTATTTTGATTTGAATCAATTATTTGTGATTGCCAAGTTAATAACAATGATCTGGAGACTAATACAAACGCTATATATTGTTGTTTTGTGAGTTCAAAATTTTGTGATATATCCGAGATTAATGGATAATCGTTTATATATTTATTTTGTTTTATTATTATTATCAGCGTAACCGGCGTACGGGACGGGCCGAACGCCCGAACCCGAACGCCCGAACGTATGGGACCCCTTGGGGATGCGTTCGGCCGTTCGGGCCGAACGCGGACCCAAAAAAAAAAAAANAAAAAAAAAAAAAAAAAAGTCATTAAAAAAATCTGAAAAAAAAGTATGTTATGGAGAAAAATAAAGGATTTGCCTGAGCATTACGTCCGAATTACTTACCAAATTTGAAATACAAATAAAATACACAGAACAAATACTAATAATAAAAATAAATAAAAATAAAAAGAGAATTAAATTTAGTGAGTGCACGAGCATGTTTTCGAAACCGCCATCTTTGGCGATTTTTTATTTTTTTGGGCATAGCTAAATGCCCTGAAAATCAACCATGTTCTCATATTTCAAAAAACAAAGGACGCGACTATCCCCCCACCTACACTTCCCACTGATCATCAACCATGGAAAGGGTGAGCAATGATCACCTAACAAAGTAATCATATATTTTTTATGTTTCGAAAAAAAAACGGTATGGGGAGAATCCGACTACTGATCAACCATAGAAGGGAAGAGCAACGATTAACCAACAAAACAATTATACATTTTCTTTTATTTCGAGTAAAAAAAGAAGCGGGAGAATCACCTCTACCTTGACTCCCCAATAATCATCAATCATGAAAACAGCAACGATATACCAACAAAGCAATCATACAATTTATCATATTTATAAAAAAAAAACAGATGGACGAAGACCACATACGCTCCCTTATAATCATCAACCATGGAAGGGGAGCGCAACAATCAACCAACAAAGCAATCATCCATTTTCTCATATTTCGAAAAAAAAAAGTGGCGGGAAAATCGCAATTTTTTCCCTACCTACGTTCCTCGGTAATCATCAACCATGCAAGTGGAGACCAACGATCAACCACCAAAGCAATCATACATTTTTTCATATTTCGAAAAAAAAAAGGTGAGGATCATGATTCTCCTGCCACGTATACTCCCTATGGATCATCAACCATCGAAGGGGATAGTAACTATCCATCAGTTCGGACATACTAAAAAAAAAAAAAAGGTATAGCCATCAACCAAGGAAGGAGAGACTAACGATCAATCAAGAAAACAATCATACATTTCCTTACATTTCAAAAAAAAAAAGTGGGGGGAAATTTGATCCCCTCACCTACCCTCCCCAGTAATTATCAACCACTACAGATGTGTACTTCACATAATACAAAACCCACTAAAAAAGTTTCAAAAAACAATAAAATTGTTTAGACCCCGAATTAAAGTGAAAAGAAAAAGTAAAAAGTGAAAAAAAACGTGGGCGAGCACGTTTTGACACCGCCATCTCTAGCGATTTTTAATTCTTATTTGGCTAAGCTTAATGACTTGAAAATTAATAGGCATGTACCTCACGTCATAAAGAATTTGTAAAAACAAATTCAGAAAAAAAACATTATTTTTAGGCCCGGAAATAATTTTTGGTGGGGGCCGAACGCCGTTAGGTTTGGGCCACGTACAGAACCTCGAATGCCTCAACGTACGGAGGTCCACCTTGGGGCCTCCGTACGTACGGGCTGGTAACCTTGATTATTATTATTTTTTATATTTCATGTTTTTTTGTTCGAGAGCACTTGCTAAAAGTTTTACTTTTGTTTATTTGATATGTTTTTCGTATTCAATATTTAAAGAATTATTTTCATCAATATTCATTTGAAGATTTGATTTGAGTCAATTTTTTATGAATGTGTAATTTATTTATTTTTTTCTTCAAATTGTTTATTTGATATTGAAAAAAAATCACAATGTTTTTATATTTATTTGTTGTTAATATCGTTGTTTGATGCATAATATGTGTTGTTTGTAATGCTTTATTTAATTAATTATTTAATATAATTATTTTTATTGTTGAACATATTAATAGGTTTTTCAAATGATTCGTCGTATATATTGTTTCAGAATTTTTAAAAAAGTCTTTGCCGTTGATGTTATGAAATATATGGTATTCATTATCTTTTGTAAAATTGTCCATTAGTAATTCACAATCGTCATCGTTTGAATTATTGTCATTACCAGTATTTCAATTATTTTCATATTTTGTTTTTTGTAAACCTTGTTTGTGTTTCCGAAGCTTTGGTTCTGACAATATGAAAATCTTACATTGTATTGTATATATGTAATACAAAAGAAGACACTTATATTTTAAAATTTACAATTTCTGAAAAACAATGTTTGATTGCATTTGCCTAATACTTCTATTTTTATGAATAACTTATAAAGAAGTAAAGTCGTTTGAGCATGTTTTTTTTTCACATCTTCATATTTAGATTATAATCTTCTGTGGTATTATTGGTATATATGGGTATGTATGTTGTCCTGCACATTTTTTTTTCATATTGTGGGTGTTTTTGAAAGTGTTGACATTGCTCAGTCGACACGAAAATGTGGCATTGAGAATTCATGTAAACAAAGATTTAATATTTTTGTGGTCTATAAATATAATCATTTAGTGAATGATTTATCACATATGTATTTGTTTTTTAATATAATTTACAAATGATTTTTATTTCGTTCAATAATTGTTTTATAGGTAGTTTTTTAAATGAATGAATTTTGTACACACAAAAATGTCATAAAATACACAGTGCACAAAATGGTGCAGCAATCTCTTTTTTGTTTGTTAATGCATAAACTTGTGATGAAATTTGTCTTTTTGTTTTTATTTCGTTTGTAAGTGGTTTATTTTTTTGTTGTTCATTTTCTCGATTTGTTTGCGCATCGAATGCAGCAAGAGCAAAAACCCTATGGTTGTCGACTAGATGTTGATTATTTGTCGTATAATTAGTTGTATAAAAACCTCTTTCGACCTTTTTTTGTCCTCCTATTAATACTTGTGTGTCATGATTTGCTTTGAATGTAGATAGTACAATGTCATTGAAGTCATTTGTATATTCATGTCGGAATGGTCGACAAATTTGTATTCCATCGTTTTTCATTACCGTTTGTTCTATATTTGTACGAGGGTTTAAATATCGACAATTTTTTGGGTTATTCGTGGTACCTGACTTTTTGAAACATGACGGAGTGTATGCCCAATAATGTGTTTGAGTTAAAATAATTAGTACAGTCTTATTATGTTTAAAGTTAGGCTACCAGACGGACCGCCCGGGTCACCCTATTTTCCTGGACGTTCCGCCCGTGCAAGGCCAAGGGAAGGTCCTAGCAAAATAAATAAATAAATAAATAAAATTAAACTTCGAAAAAAAAAATGTTATGCAAAAAACTAAACTGAACAAGTTTTGACTCAGAGTCACATTGAAATTCTTTACCAAATTTAAAATAAAAATTAAAGTTAAACAATATTTTTTAATTTTTAATTTTTTAATTTTTTAATTTTTTTTTTGCCTCTCGAGCCACTCTGGTAGCTTAGGTTTAAAGTCATTTTCATCATTTACTTAGTTGTTGTAAACTATTTGGCATATTCAATAGTAATTGATATGAATCATGTTTAAAAATTGGATAATTCACAGTGTGGATATAAAAAGTTTTTGAAGAATTTTTTTCTTGATATGTTGTAGGAGTTTTGTGTTCAGATGTTTTGAGCAATGTTGAACGTACCATGTATTATGCACTTATTTCTTGGTTACAATATTAACATCTTGCTATTGCTAGCTCTGTTGGGGTACAGTCTGTTTGATTTTTTTTGGAAAGGTGTTTTTTACTGTAAATCGTGGTGTATCAATTGTTCGAGTATTTGCTAAATTATTTTATTTAGAGCCAAGGTATAATATTTTTATCAATTGGTAAATTTGTTTTAACCTACGTTACCAGTCGTCCGATGACCGGACGTCTCGGCCGGACGTCTCCCCCAACCGTCCGGTATGGGAGTTGTCCGGGATCCTGGACAAGTGGTTTTTGGCATTAAAAAAAAAAAAAGAAAAAAAAAAAGGATGTTCTTGCGCAAGGCTAGGAGATCCCCCAAAAACAATTTGGGGTGATTCTGAGTATTTATGGAAAACAAAAATATTTTTGCCATTTTGCCACTTTTTGGGGGATCTCCCACTGATGCAAGGAACATAAATGTGGTTGAAGATCAGAAATCCAAACTGCAAATTACACTGAAGTCCATGTAGACAAAGCAAAAGCAAATAGCATGGGCATGGGTCCCAGTTGCTCTGCCTAGGCGCAGTACAGTTAAGGGCTCAGGCTGCACAGTTGTGCCTCTTTCATCCTGATCATCGTCCAGATTCAGACAGTGGACCAGTTTCCCTTTAGCAAATTCGGCATCCAACCTGCCAATCCCGACCGGCCAATCAATCAATCAATCAATCAATCAAGTCCTGTCGAATTTGTTGATTCGACAGGATCTTGAACTGTCAAGATCCTGTCGAATCAACAGATTCGATAGGACTTGATTGATTGATTGATTGATTGATTGATTGATTGATTGGCGGTTGGCATTAGTGGATGGGTGGCGACGGATATGGGCAAAAAAAAAAAAAAAAAAAAGTGGGGGTTCCGACGTCTGAAACGAGGGGAGTCAACTTCGCGGCGAGACGGAGGAGGAGGAGGAGGGGGAGGAGGAGGAGCGGGAGGAGGAGGAGGAGGAGGAGGTCCCGGTAGAGGAGGCGGAAGAGGTCCTGACAGAGGAGGGGGAGGAGGAAGAGGAAAAGGAGGAGGGAGAGGAGGTCCGGATCCAGGAGGAGGAGGAGGTCCTGATAGAGGAGGAGGAGGAGGTCCCGATAGAGGAGGAGGAGGTCCCGATAGTGGAGGAGGTCCCGATAGAGGAGAAGGAGGAGGAGGAGGAGGAGGAGGAGGAGGAGGAGGAGGAGGAGGAGGGGGGCGGATGAGGTGGAGGCGCATGCATCCATCCCGACCGACGAATCAATCAATCAATCAAGTCCTGTCGAATCTGTTGATTCGACAGGATCGTGAACTGTCAAGGTCCTGTCGAATCTGTTGATTCGACAGGACTTGATTGATTGATTGATTGATTGGCGGTTGGGATGGGTGGATGGGTGGCGACGGATGATTGACTTCGCGGTGAGACGGAGAAGGAGGAGGAGGAGGAGGGGGAGGAGGAGGAGGTCCCGGTAGAAGAGGAGGTCCCGATAGAGGAGGTCTCGATAGAGAAGGAGGACAAGGTCCCGATAGAGGAGGAGGAGGTCCTGGTAGAGGAGGAGGAGGCGGAGGTCCCGATAGAGGAGGAGGAGGAGGTCCCGATAGAGGAGGAGATCTTGATAGAGGAGGAGGAGGCAGAGGTCCCGATGGAGGAGGAGGAGGAGGAGGAGGTCCCGATAGAGGTGGAGGAGGTGCCGATAGAGGAGGAGGAGGCGAAGATCCCGATAGAGGAGGAGGAGGAGGAGGAAGAGGAGGAGGAGGAGGAGGAGAAGGAGAAGGAGGACGAGGTGACGAGGAAGAAGAAGAAGAAGAAGAAGAAGAAGAAGAAGAAGAAGAAGAAGAAGAAGAACAATAGAAGAAGACGACGAGGACAACGAGGAGGAGGAGGACGACGAGAGACGATGGCGGGAGAGGAGGAGCAGGGCTGACGACGAAGAGGCCTACCTAGAGATGGTGTTGACGATGGCGGCGTTGGGGTGCCACGTCCGCGCCAGTGCACACACGCGCTCGTCGACACGATGGTCGCAGTGTACAGCGACTGGGAGGGGGGGGGCAACACGGGGGTGGCGGCGGGCGTGGGCGGGCGGTTCCCACCCGAATTCGAATTCGAATTCAGGCCCGATCTGGGCCGTCGATCGGATCGATCGGACGGCCCACGTCGGGCCTTTTCCGTTTCGATTTTTTTTGGCCCCGCTGGCCTCGGCCCGTGGGGACCGAGGTCCAGCAGGGCCTCTTAACACACCGTGAGGCATGAGACCCCCCACATGCCCCTTCCAGGCATGGCCCCTATTTTCCGCTGGGGCCGGACATTTGTCGAATATTGGACCACCGGGCCGGTGGTCCGGTCGGACAACCCGGACCGTTGGGGGGTCCCGAACGTCCGGAGAGGTGACCTAGGTTTTAACTATATTGTCTGTATAATTGATTATTTGTGTTAATGTATTTTCGTCTTTTTACATTTTTGATACTCTGTAGTTGCTTCCGTGCATCTTTTACCCATATAAGAAAATGCAAGTGTAGTGTACCACGTTTTTGTGTTTCGACCATTCCGTGGTAAGCATCAATATATTAAAAAAGTCTTGAACTTTATGGTTGGTGTTTGTGTTCTATTATCATATCATGCGATGTGTTTAAAAAATATTGTTATGAATCTTTAAAACAATCGTGCAGAAGCTACGTTATCTTGTAGTAATGTTTTTTTTATTTATGATTAGGTATATATTGTTGTTTTAAATTTTTTTTTGAAAAATTATTAATTTTTTTTTTTTTTTTTTTCACGTTCGGCCCGAACGGCCGAACTTATCGTAAAGGGGTCCCATATGTTCGGGTGTTCGGGTTCGGGCGTTCAGCCTATCCCGAACGCTATTTACCCTAAGTACAATCAACATATGTTTTTATATCTTCATGAAAATTTGTATCTGATTATTTTTTATTATATCGTTTTGTTAATTACATCTCGATTTTTAGTTGTGTTCACACTCATAATATAATGATTCTTGTAAACCTTCAAAGGTCATCACTTCTTGTAAGATATCTAATATTGCTCTTTTGATTTTTCCATAATCAATATTTTTAAAGAGTTCATGATTTTTATATTTTGTAAAATTTGTGTCATTGCAATTGTATTTAATCTAGTATTTTTATAATTGAACTTTTTATTTTTATTATTTGTTTTATCTCATTATTTTTATTTTTTTTTTGCTTGCATTCTTGCACGGTTTTTAAATCGAATTCGTTTATTATTTGAAGTGTTTTTTTTTTCTTTTAATTTGAGTTTTTTTCTAAATGATGTAAAATTAAAGAATAATTTATATAATGTATTGTTTTTTATTTCAACTGTTAATTCTTCTTTCATTTTTTCTGTTTTTTGTGCCTCTTTATGTTGCTCAGCGACGTTTTCCACTGATTACGTCATTGATGCTTCGTTTTATTTTGTTGTCAAGTTGTTTCTTGGTCTCATTTTCGTTGTAACCATTACTTTTGATTCATAACATCTGCATCGATCTTCTGCTCAATTGAAAGTTGTTATACATAGATGGATAGATAGATAAATAGAGAGAGAGAGAGAGAAAAAAAAAGAGAAAGACAGACAGGGATGAAAAAAAAAAAAAAAAGGAGAGAGGAAAAAAA